TCATGGAAGACAATTTTTTCACGGACCGGGGGGAGGGGGGGGGGTCATCATTGGGTCTTTCCCTCTTTTCAAAGAAGCTCTCCAGCGACGTTAGTTTTTTTACTCATTTTGGCTAGGGTTAGCTTGTGGGCTTACCAAAACTGTGACTGAGACAAGTGCGCAGTGCGGGAAATAGGCACGGACAGAAGTGGTAAATGAAATAATGGGTGGGCCCCACGCAGACTCACTGCTCACCTCCTGCTGTGCGGCCCGGTTCCTAACAGGCCACGGACCAGTACCAGTCTGTGGCCTGGGGGTTGGGGACCCCTGGTGTAGAGGATACTCTTCTTTACTTCACATACGGGCACAACACAGGCCAACTCTATCTTCTTCCTTTTCTGAGTGCAACACTTAGATGTTAGCGTCCCTACAAGCTACACACATGGTCGCTCATCCGGCGTGGTTCTACCCGTCCACTCCCGGCCTCGCCGCTGGCTGACGGTGTGTCGGCATGGGTGGTGGAACTCGGCAGGAGATCTGCCACGTGGCGGGACGATGGAGGGAGATGACGGCGAGCAGCGACGCAGTCCGGACCCAAGATTCCCCATACCGACCATGAGTCCTCCTCCGCTCCCACTTATATTGCTGCAGGCGCGGCTAGGCTCCGCCTCCTGCCACACCCTCTTGTGGAAACTTCCCGCAGGTTCCCGAAGTATATCGGCCAGCCCTGGCCCCTTACCTTTGGCCCAGATACCTCTCCGTTTGGGATTGGATGATGTTTTAGTGGTGCCCATACCCTTGCTTCCCTTTTCCAACCAGCAGGTGTCATCATGTCATTACACTATCGATGTTTACAGCACAGCAGCAGGATAAATGTTAAATATTAAAAAATCTGAAAATCAGAGATTATGCCAGTTTATCTGGTCACAAAACAGTATAAAGCATTTCGGGGTGAAAATACCATAACCTACCTTCTTTTTTCGCTGCTAATTTCCCTCCGTTGCCACAGTCGACTTGCACTCACTTGAATGTTTGGAATGCATGCTGCTTCTCTCAATCAGAATACAAATAATGAATATAATGACTTTGTCCAAATTTATATTCCTAATTTGAGCGCTCCCTGTCACTATCCCAACACCCTTTCTGCATACTCTTTGGTTCTTTCGGTAAAGTAACGTAGTAACAAAATGAATTAAATCACAACGTTTCGGGCGCAACACAAGTGCCTGTCATCAGGTGGAAACAACCACAGCAATAAACAATCGCTGAAGTGGGCAAAAGGAAACTGCTTGTGACACGAGGCTATATATATGTAAGAGGGGGGGGGGGGGGTGAGCCAGGGAGGAGAGATAGAGAGGGTGGGGGCGTGGGGTACGGGGAGTGGCGAAGTGCAAGCTCCAACCCGAGCCTGAGTACAACACAATGTCGGGTCTGGAAAGTGAGCAGGGCTGGAGGGTAGAAGGCTGAAGAAACTGGAGATGTGGATACGAAGGCAAACTATAAAGCAGTTAAGGTTTTACCTCGTTCATAACATCCTTCCAATGATTGCTCAATTTGTATCCATCTTCTCTTTCTGCAAATACTCAACTCGGCCACTTCCAAAATCTTCACTCAGCCCCCATCAGAGAACCCCAATTTTTTTTCAATAGCTGTTAACTAACCAAAGAAAATTTTAAGTTGACAAAACAACTCCCCCCAACTCCCTTGATGCCCCCTGGACACTCCTCAAACATAGGCATGCCTTTTGTGAATGTCCAGACATTAACAATGTTTTTCAAAGTATCACTTGCTACTTTTACCACGTTCACAAAACAAGCATCTCACCCTCACTGGAAATGTCCTTATTGGGGTTGAAACCCCTAGGCCTTTCCATAGAGGCAAATATATTATTCCAAATGTTCAGTGTTATGGCAAAACGCACCATTATAGCCAACAGGAGAGAGCATGCTCCCCCCAACACTGCAGGAATGGGCCAATACATTATCAAAAAATGCCGCCTTCGAGCATCCAAGTGCACAACTAAGGGGCATGGAGGAAGCTTACCACATAACATGGAACCCCTTCACTACCTCCCCTCCAGTGGGCAATGATTCGTAGGAACATTCATGAGGGCATTTAGCCACTCCTCCCCACCCCTCCCTTTTTTTCTCCTACAAGGGTATCAGAGCTTAGGAAGACACCACGGTTGCAGATTTTATTGAAAGTTTATTGATACGTGCAGTTTAGACAGGTTTCCAGGTTTTTTGCTTGTACCTGAATCTTTTGTTAATAAAATACTTTTGGAAAAAAGTCTTGTAAGAGTCGGTGGTTCTTCGTTTTTGGTTGACTATGCTGAGTAACTGTGAGCTGAGAGCTCGGGTGGGCTCGACTGTTTCGAGTGGTTTTGTAGAGAAGTGCTGAGAGACCCAGATCCAAAACTGCCACAACTATGACAAGGGTAGCTGAGTTTTTTTAACTCCTTTATATTAAGTTCGCTTGCTTGCTTGCATGCTTGCGTGCTTGCTTGCTTACGACCGTGCAAATCTTTCGGTCGTTTTTTAACCCACTTCCCGTGATCCAATCGAGCTGACATTTTGCACACAGACTGGTTGTGCGAGACAATTAATATTCGTGAAAAAATTTTTCCAAAATTTTAGGGAAAACAAATAAAATATTTAATTACCAATTGCTTAATACTGACAGACAATCATCTGACCCATAGGTGGCAGCCATCTCAAGCCAGAGGACGAGAGGACTCTAGCCGCCACGCATATAAAGGATTTAGAGTGAAAAACTTTGTTTTTACGGGTTATACTTATTCTTCAATGTGGACTATTGTCGTTAAGGCTATCACTCTCCGCAATTTTGCAGGGTGAACTGGATCACAAATCCAATGCCAGCTTCTTTACTCAACTTAGATTCGCATTAACTCTTGCCTCTCACTACCACGCACAGATGCAGCTCTCACGGTAACGACTCCGATCACCAGTGCCAATCATCCTGCAGTGTCACCCAGTTTCACGACTCTCCCAGGAGGGTCCTGTTGCAGGATGTTTGGCCAGTTTCGCATGGCTTGCGAGGTTCGCACTCATCTATGAATGCCCCAAACGATTGGAATTCCATCGCTTCACAAATGTCCACGGTTCCTCTCCCATCTATATCGTAATTTGATGCTTAGCTGTAAATTTTCTACAATCACTTCATCCCCAATTGACTAAAATATCCTCACTTGTTTCACAGATTTTTGCATCTATGTAACTTAACTCAACATAACTCATTACATTTCTTTTCGTACGATATTTTGGATTGTGTAAGTTGCTTTTGGGTCAGATTGCTATTAGGCTTCATTCTGTTAGTCATTTTGGTGACCCAAGTCACTTGCAAATTAGACCATCCTGGCCTCTTGTGTTTTCATCCCATCTGGTTAAATAAAACAAACTTTACTTTTTGAATGCTTTATTTGTGCGGTGTTAGGAAGTCAGTGATGGTGAATGGGATGAGGCACAGAAAAGAGCAAGACAGTTTCAGTTGTCACGTCATGTTCCTGCAATATGAATAGAGACCTTGCACTCTCGCCCCTCAGACACCACACTGGGATTGGCGCTATGTAGCTGCACTTTGAGCAGTTGAGCTGGTAGAGCTGTGTAGAACATCACCACCGCGCCTAGCCACGTTCCTCCTTCAGCAATATTTTTGAGGTCAGACTGGAAACCCATGCTAATTCACGCACCAGATGTGCATTGACCAACCTACATCTTAGACCTCACCACCAACATTGGTGCAATGAGAAGCCTGTGTACGACACTTGCCACAATTTTCCTGCAGGACTCATTTACACTGCCACATGGCTTTGTTACAAAGTATTGTTTTCCAAGTCACTCCACGTTGAGCTCACCGCCTCTAAACTGTTTCTTTTATCAGGTAAAAACCAGAGCTATACGGAGATTTTTCATAAGAGTCCTGGCCACAAATGATAGCCGACTGGCTTGTGGAAATTTGCAACGGCCAAATACTCGAAGGGGCATGTTTAAATGTTGATATTTTGGCATTTTACATCAATTTGCATCGCACGTTGGAGTAGACCACCAGCAATGACCTTAATTATAGACATCCGAAGCAAACGTGCAGCCAGAGACAACCAGGTAGTACCAAGGCCTCCTATTGGCACGGAGGCCTCCATAGGTGATTGAACAGGAGGCAAGGTTTGAAGTGATTCAAACTGAAAAAGGCAGGCAGCAAAGGTTAAGCTCTAAGGTGACTTGCGCACCCTTGAGGCGATCGACGTGAGAGAAGGGGGCTCCAAAGAGCTAAGAGGAGAGCACAAAAACATGTCAGGTGAAGAGGCACTTCAAGAGTCAAGCAAGTGGGGCCAAGTGTTCGTGTAATAAAAACAAGGCTCCAAGTTTGTCCATAGCTTTACACTTCCACCAATAAGAGCTTTAAGAAACGTTGATTTAAGTGCACCCCCCCCCCCCACCAAAATATCAATGGTCTTCATCTGCATATTCTCGGCGTAGTCCCTCCGCATCTCAGAAGTTTAAGCTAAATTTTCCAGAGTCAAATGTCTTATCATTGTTCGCAAAGGCTTGGGGGCAAGGTTAGTTTGTAGTAATGCGTCACTCCAGGAACTCAATTTCTAGTCTCAACGGCTACGTTGGTAGAAAGTCAATACCACGGATCAGGGGCGAGGGTGGCCGCTGGAACAACGATTTTCTTTCCAAGAACTGCCTATACACCGAGGGTGAAGGGATTGTCACCCGTGTCTAACGAATTACATTCCAGGGATGTTACCAATAACTGGATGAAGTGTCACCCATCAGACCTGTTTTTAAACAGTAAAGCCCGATCCCTCCTTACATGTGCAAGGTCATTGGGGCGCTCGTGGCTCCTTTTGGGCAAAGACAACACAAGGAGAGGCTCTTCCATTAAGACCACCGCCATTGCCAAAAAACAATTCTGCATCACGAGAAGGGAAATGCATCAGCCATTGCTTGCCGGGTCAACTTGAAAAACACACGATTCACCAAACCCAGGACCAGTTTGCCAGCAATTTTATTAGCAATCTCCTTTTATATATTTTAAAGAGATTTATTTGGGCTTATCAGCAGAAATGGGCCGGCCACAGGGCCCCTTGGTGAGGAACACGCGCTCCTGGAATGGGGCATGGCCGGCCACGAGGATTCGCGTCCACGTGGCCATGAACGCTTGGAAGTCCACACTGGCGCCTTGGTTCTCGTGAAGATCCCCCATGATCTTGCGCACTTCATGCGGGTCACACGCACCCTGCATTCGTGAAACAGGAACACTTTCTGCTACAGCCAATGCACCAAGCACTCTGCTCAGTGTTGCAGCAACAAGAATAGGAATCAACATGCTATGTGGTCATTATTGAGCCATTCTCATTCAACCTTTAACAGTGACGAAGCACGCTCAGTCGTTCTTGCAAAACCCAATGCCACAGCACTTGTCACCGCCTCGAGCCGCAGCGGCTCCCAGTGCACGTGGAGACGCGTCATTGCACCACATTGCTCGAGAAAAGTTAGCTTGCAGTGCTGTCGCCGTGGAGGGCACAGGAAACCCACCGCCAGATAGGGACGCATGTGCTTCACGAGCAGATTCTGCAGCGCGTGCTTCCTCATGGAGACGCTCCCCGCGCCTCCTTCACAGTTGGCGCAGAATTCGCGCACAAAGATGTCCATCACAGCGCTCAGATCCTCCATGGCAGCAGCAGACGAAGGCATGAGATTCCTTCACCCAACACGTGTACATTACATACCAAAATAAAGCTCACCCATATAGCCTTTTGGATGCCCAGACTTATAGGACAGCTCGACTTGCAACACCCCCCCCCCCCCGCCCGTATGAGACTTATAATAATTAACACCCTCACTAACCACCCAACTACCGACGGAGGCTGAGCAAGTCGTGTGCAGACGCAGCACCATGAGGCGACGCGTGCATGTTATGCAGACGTCGCCAGATGACGGCGCTTTGCTCTTCTGACGCATGTACAATTTAGGCCAACTGTGCAGCTGCGCTGAGTGAACACTGCGGCACTCTCAACGCTCTTTACCTTCGTAAACTTGCCTTCTGCTACGTCTGAGGGGAAAGGTGATGCACATGCAGAAAACCAAATGATTTAAAAGACGAGATTTAAAAGTATCCAAATTATAGGATAAACGAATGTACAAACGGCATTCCAGCCGTGCAGCATAAGCACAGCAAATGCCCGCTCACCTCAGGAAGGAAGCTGGGATCGAAGTAATCGCAGAAGGGTGGGGGATTGCAGAGCTTAACAACCTTGGTAAGGGGTGTAGGGATGAATCAACCTCATGAATGTGGTACCAGCCATTGCAAGGCCTTAACTAGTACAAGGCTCTTATAAACGCCGCTTCAGGACAGGAAATCAGTGTAATGATGAGAACCAGAGAAATATGGTCACAATGGGGTTAGGGCAAGTAGCCCAACGGCTACACATTCTGAACAATGTAATCTACCAGCAAGGCATTGCAATAATCGATTCGCTAGAGAATACGTGCATGGACGTGCCTCAATCAGTAAGTATAAGGATGCCGTGCAGTCGAATATGGTTGGGAGGGGAAAAGATTTCACAACGTTAAGGAGAAGAATGGAAAGGGATCAAATAACACGAAGATTACTAATAATGCGTCGGGCAGATGTTCTGGCTCATCAACAACTCGGCTTAAAAAAAGTCCCAGTTTAGTTTGGGGAGCCGAGTAAGATAATTAAAATCTTATATTAATTTTGGTCTGAAATTTTTTCCTGCAATCACGATTTTAGTTGAAAGAAAAGATTTCCGATGCAGAATATGGTGTTAGCTGGAGGCAAACGTGGACGTCATCTGTGTAGCAATGGTAGCACAGCCCTAGACAGTGCTCCAAAGTGTCATGTTAAATCCTAAAGAGAGCGGGACCAAGCACCGATGCTTGGAAATACCCCAGACTGCACCAAAACTGGGGGGACTAAAAGCCACCCAGTGAAATATTGGTTGGGGTTTTGCAGAGCAGAACCACCACACCCCCCATACTATTTTTCAGCCGTTAAATTAAAATATCATTGTTAGCAAGCACCTATTAAGGCCAACACTACGCCCAGATGCCTTTTTATCCGAAGCAGTGATGTTTATACACCACGTCCTCGTTTTAAAAGTCGATGTAGGGAAGGCCCAGGACTGGTTAAGACCATCCTGAGCAGGCGTTGACCGATTGGCAATCCAACTCTGGTCGCCGGGTTCACAAATCGCAGCACGCAAACCGCTACAATACCCTTCAGATCTCAAACATAGGCGTGTACAATCCACGCGGCCCAAATGCACCGACCCTACACAACACTAGTATTGCGTTCAGAGGAAGTCAAGATCTGCGAGATTAAGTGGCTTTATAAACCAGGAGACAATTTAAAGTAGTTGCCTCAATTTCGCCCCAATGCTCGAGAACAGGCAGCGCAGAGAAGATGCACAGCGATGACGCCACGGATGTCTCCACCGAACTCGAGACGCCGACAGGCGACGTAACTCACCGGGATGTAGAAGAACAAGAACGCCGAGCAGTAACCACTGAATCCGCCTCCAGCAGGGTTTAAATCCTCACCTATGCTGGTGACGTCACCAATTACGCCTTCACGTGGGCTGGTGACGTCACGCATAATTGTTTGCACCTGTGCTGTTGACAATCATGACATCGACATGTTTTATTGACGTCACATGACCCATCGAGTCTCCGCGTGTGAATCTGACCAATTCCGTGCGTCAGCTCATTCAGACGAATCCTTTGCGTGTGCGGGGAAATGGTGATGACGGGAGCAGTGACGATGATGATTGATGGATGATGATTCTCGCGACCCTTGCGAGCCCCCCCCCCCTACTCATTCTGCCCCTCCCCCGGTTCGGCGTTGAATGTTGGAGGAGCTGTTTCGTGGGCAGAACGGGAAGATGGACAGGAGGGGAGGAGCCCGGATGGAGAGTGACAGGGGCGAGGAGGAGCCGGGAGGAGAGCGGGGACGTCGAGGTACGGGCGCATCGAGGAGGATGGGGTTGTGGTACGATAAAATAATATTTGAAACTACTTTTTTAAAAACACGCTTTAATAAAATGAACCGTACGAGTAATGGCAGAACTCCTCGACTCCAGGAAGTGGCCCGAGGCTTGCCACAACGTAAGGGGCCGTGGTGATTTACAGCCAACGTGAGGAAGGGATTTACTCGATCTCCAGAATGTATAATACAGGCAGTCCTCTACTTGCGATGGAGATGCGTTACGACGACCCCATCGTAAGTCAAAAATATCGTAAGTCGAAGATGGCCTAGCCTACCCAAGAGTCTTAAAGAATGGTGATAATTTAGCAAAACAGAGCAATTTACAGTGCCGTACTATATAAACTATATACTGTATGTATTTATTAATTACAATACTGTATTGCATAGTAAAATGTAAAGTAAAAAAACAAGGTAAATTCTTAGCCTACCTATATGAACTGTAATTTAATAGAAAGTGTTTTCAGCAAACAATCCTATCTGCTATAAAAACTTTTAACATGCATTGAACTTATCGTATCGTGGTAACCCTAAAATGAAATCGCTAAAGCTACGGATCATACATGCATTGAACGTATTGTAACGTATCATATTGTACTGTACTCACAAAGATTCGTACGCTGCTGCGTTTGCCTGCCGCGCGAAATTTAAAATATTTTACAATTTCGTTGTATCGCTAGCGCCATCGTAAGATCTAAATATCGTAAGTCGGACCATCGTAACTCGGGGACTGTAGTTATTTAAATGCATTATTTTTTAACACAGGCTTTTTGTCAATCTACTTCCAGATAAAGGCCTCATCTAGTCTCCCCCCCCCCCCTCCTCTAATTCGCCATCATTATCATCAGCCAGGGTCTTTCCGCTGCTGGATGAATTCCTCATTCTCAAGCATCCCCCCCCCCACCCCCTCTAATTCACCATCAGCAAGTCTATCCACAACTGGATGAAGGCCTCCCCAAGCCTTTACTAATACACACAGGCCGTAAATAACATCCATAATCATTACTTAAAGTCACGCAAGCCCTTTTGGATCCGTGCGCTTAACCTTAAACAATGTGAATCTGGAGAGTTCAATGGAGTTCAAACTCACGAACACCTCGTTGTGAAGGACCAAACCCAGAAGATCCCTGGGTTTGATCTTCCACGATGCTCATGGTCCACCCTAAATCGTATCCACAGCCCAAACCCTGGCAACTGTGGACACTTGATGCACAAAATATGAAAAATTAAAAACTCTCCAGTGTGCGAAGGTGGTCCTCCAAAATAGGACTGTGCAACATATGACAAAGCAATGCCCGATCCACAAATACGAACGAGACATCACTCTCGTTATGTTTATTCCAATGTTCTTGTGGGATGAGTTGGCAGCCGGGACGGGTAGGTGCTACGATGGAGGGGGGGGGCGTTGGGATGTAGTGGCATTGTTGGGCGCGATGCTCGATCACCACTACTCTTAGCCGGTATTACAGGCCCCGTGTCAACAGGGGGCGGAAGAGAGGTTGAGTCTGATAGTTTCGATGAAGTCAGGCCGTTGGGCCGAGGTAACCCCCAGGGAGCATCGTGACCGGAGGTGCAGACCCCCAAGAGGGGGCTGGCGGATGACGTCACACTCCAGGTCCCTCTGGAAGGTTCCAGAAGGAAGGCATGGCTAGGGGCAGAGTGAGCTGGGACCTGTATAAAAGCCGGACCCCTGAACGGGTCCAGCAGTTGTCGTCCACTCGAAGACTCGAAGAAGCCATCCTGAAGACCTGGAGCCGGGGAAGGACCCGAGGACCTTGGCTGGGTCGGGACCGAGCAGCCCCATGTGTAGGACCCGAGGACCTTGGCTGGGTCGGGTCAGAATATTTTCCCGAGGTCCTGCTAGCCGGAGGACCCTTAGTGAGCTACTCCCCCAGTGTGTAGGGCATGCCAGTGTGGAGGACATACCTCCTAAGGGTATCGGGTGGAAGGGGCCGTAACCTCTTCGCGATAGGGCTGTTACTGTTATTGTATAATAAATGTGTTGCCTCCAGAGAAGTGTCTCTCTCTCCATTTATGTGTTTGCATCCGCTACGTACGGGAAAGTACTTGCTGACGGCATGGAGCTTGGACAACGCCACCTCGACTTGCTGCTCAGGGCAGCAGAGCCCTGATTGGAGTCCACCCGAATCCGGGCCCTTTCATCAGCACCATAGGTGCAGCATGGGCTGATATAATAGGGCTACAACATGCACCATTTCTTCATCACCTGCACCTGGAACCCGCGCTCCTGAGGACGCTCTCTGTCCCCGGGCTTCTCCGAGGTCAACGTCGGAGACTGCATCGGCACCATGGTTGCAGAGGTGGTAGGGGCCACCGTTCACAGGTCGACCTCGAACCAGCCATCTCCTCTATTCCCTCGACGCCTCACCTCCACGGATCTTCTCATCTACCTTCACACATCCGCCTTGGCCTACTCAACTCATGCTCCATACACACACAGTCCACCGACCGATTCCATGACTGCACAGCACATTGCTCCACTGAACTTCAGCTGGCAGTCTTGGTGAGGGTAGAAAGGCCTGGGCTGTATCCTCGCTCCTGACCGCTCCCTCTGGTTTCCACAAGACTACGCTCTTTGTATAGTGTTGTAAATAACAGATGAGTAAACTTCTTAAGGCACACACAGGTTTATTGTCTTTCTTCCGACACAGTCCCTATACACACACAG